CATCAGAATGACCATACTCCTGTGCAATGTTGCTTAAATGTTAAAATTGCAATACTGTTGAGATGAACAGCAGTGTATTTGCATCCTCAGCGTGAAGCATACCGCTACTGCACAGATGTCTGGAAATGTCCTGCCATCCTTCAAAGACTGTTTCTTTCGGGTGCTCTTTGCTGGAGGGGTTGTTTTGCTGAGCCGCTCTTTTTAAAGTATCCCAATGATCAGGTGACATACTTAGCCAGGTCATAGCTTTGACTTTTTTTCTGCTTTAGAAACTCTTGTGTGATTTTGGCATTGTGCTCTGGATTGTTCTCATCCAAAATATACCTCTTCCAAGCTTCTGCAGACGAGGTACCCAGCTGTAGCAGAAGACTCACAAAAATAGAATTGTCACCGGTAATGATACTTAGAGTACAGCGATAAACAGCATCCAAGGGATGTGGGTATGTAGAAAATGTCACCANAAAAAAAGTCACAGCAGTCTGCCTAATAGCTGAGATATTTTAGTCGGGATCAAAGTGGCCAAGTGGCCAGATAGACAAAAGGTTATACTTTACAGACCATTTAGTTGCAGCTGCTCTTCACTGACAGTGGTGAAGCCACGGCAACACTTGTGGTGAAGGTACAAGGCTACACTGGCTTAGCTACCATTAAAGACACCAAGATCATCTTCTGTTGACTGTTTTTCATGCATGGTATGTTACAAACATGAACTGAAAGAACAGGCTCTGATGAATCATTGATCAAAAGCCTGTGAAGTTTTTCATCTCTTCAGGGTGTGATGGTGCTGACGTCAGCATGACGCATTCCCCAACAAGGTTCCAGTCTCACTCACCTACCCAGTGTCTGCAGCCCAGTCTCCACTATACTACATTCCTGTATTCTCAAGAGAGACACATATCTTCCACCAGATTATGTCTGTTGATAACGTATTCAAAAAAAAACACATTTCTAATTAATGTATCTTTGACAGTGATTATAAAGCTTCACTGTTGCTCCTTTTCAGCCAACCAGTCATATACTAAATGGGGCAGTACTCGCCACAATGGTGCCCCAGAAAATGGTGGAGATACTTTAAACATGTACTTTAGCCCTACCATGACATTTTTCTTAACCCTAACCATGTAATTTTTTACTTTGTGCCTAACCTTAACCAAGCTGACCACATGTTTTTTTTTGTGGCTGAACGTAACCAGAGTGCAAGAGAAAACCAAAAGGAAACAAAAACTAGATTGTGAGACAAATAGTCCATCATAGGACACAAACATTGGTCTTCTGTGTGAAAGTCAGTTCACTGGTGGTCTCTCTCACCACACAGGTCATAAATTACGTTTACTTGAAAACAAAACTATGTTAATACAGTTTAACTGTATAGGAACAGAATTTTGTGGAAACAGGCTTGGTTTGTCTAGTGTTACTTGTTAATGATGAAAACAGACAAAAGAGCTGAACAAGTGCCTGAGAGACTGAAAAACCCCCATTAAATAATATGACACAAAATTCAAAAAGGAAAAAAAAAGTAGCAAGAATAGTTCAGACAGTGGTACTGTGACAAGTGTGAATGACCTGTACAGTCTAGTGGTCAGTCTGTAGTTGTTTGTGTCTGCTGGGAGCAGGGATGTGGGTTGTGGACATAGACTGTATAAAAGATGGACGTAGCTACCGTGACGTCACCCGTTGGTTTCTGCA